CCTTACAGAGAAGGGTCACTGCAAATCAATAGTTATTCTGACTGATCACCTTCATCCTATGATGTAACATTTGTATCATGATGAAGTAGTCTCTTCCAGGATGACAATTCCCCCATCCACAGGACACAGACGGTCACTGAATGGTTTGATGAGGATGTAAGTGGTGTAAATCATATGCTATGGCATTCATAGTCACCAGATCTCAACCTAATTAAATATCTATGGGAGATTTTGCTAGTATATATATGAGCTTGATATCATGTATATACTATATATACAGTATGTATATACTACATACTATGAATAGAATATAGTGCATGCACTAGTATATATATTGTTCAGACTTGTTTATCCTGAGGCAGGAAATTACCTTCTACAGCATACATTCTACCTACAATCTGAAATTTTCATCTTAAATTAAAGCACATAATTAGATTAGAGTTTAATGTCAATGTTGGAATAAGTAGCACGTATTCTGAAGCATGCCAAATGCACTTTGAATACATAAAAAAGCTACACCACCTTCATCGCCTTCAGTGTTTGCCTATATCCATTGCACATGCAACATTGCCCCCTCCTGTTTACAGAGGTTACATACTAATAATTCAACTCTGAGAACTTATGGAGATCATTCAAATTGTTTAGTGTGAATCAGCAGTTACAACTGCTGACTCATGTAATTTAGCACTTGGTGGTCAGTTTATACATTTTAGACATGTAGTCCAAATTAACTGAGAACCACATCTTAATATTTCAGGATGTTCAGCTTTCATGCCACCGGCTTAGTTATAATCAGATAAAGAAATGCCACATAAGGCCTGCTGCTGGTACAATCGATATGATACATCCACTGACTCAGGTATTTGTACATTAGTGCATTTTTTATTGCTTGGATGATTGCATAAGGAGTAAATTATGGTGTTGTTTGGGGGTGTAGGCCTTTGCCGTCACCTGAAATTATATTATAATACTTTCATGTGCAGACTTTACCTCTTGTTTGTTTGTTTGTTTGTTTGTTTGTTTGTATTCTCAGGTAAAGGTGTATGGTCTTACTTACCCGGCCTTCACGACACTGGTGCTACTGCTCCCACTACCCATGTTGGCTTGTCCTTAGCTTTGGTCAACTCAATATGTGCTTCTAACCTACTACGAGCCCTCACTCTCACTCTCTCTCTCTCTCTCTCTCTCTCTCTGTCATTCCCACCCTTAAGGTGAGGGACAAACCTACAATCTAATCAGCCTATATCATCAGAGCAAACCCCTGCCTGTCACTCTACATTATAATCCACCAGCCAATCCCATTGCAAATCCTTTGGGTATGGGAACTCCACATTGGCTGCTGGATTAATGTGTGTTTCTTCTCGAGTGTTTGAGTAACTAAATATAAATTAAATAAAAGTAAATAAAATCTAATTTTCAAGTGCTTATTTTAGCACATTTACTGTACTTTGCACTGTGTACATTTTGACCACGCCAGTCAAAATGGCCGTTACTCAAGAAGCTGATACTGAGAAAAGGAAAAGGACAAAAAAGAAGAAAACTTTTAAATTAAACATATAAGCTGCTGTTGTTCTCAGAACAATGGACTGACCACCCCAGAGTTCAGACCTCAACATCACTGAATGTGTTTGGGATTTCTTAGGATGGTGAGAAGCAGAAAATGCAACCAACTTCTTAGACTGAACTTTGGAGATGTGGAAAAACATCCCTGCAGATTTGTTTGAAAAAGTGAAAGCAAGACTCCTAAAAAGAATGGAAACTGTTATAAAGGCAAACTACAAACTGAAAAAATTGCTGATGCTTAAAAATAACTTGTACTTAATGGTTGTCGAAATTGAATACATGATAGATAGATAGATAGATAGATAGATAGATAGATAGATAGATAGATAGATAGATAGATGCATGGATGGATGGATGGATTGATGGATGGATGAAAGATAGATAGATACATAGACAGACAGACAGACAGGCAGACAGACAGACAGATGGATAGAAAACTTTATTGATCCTAAAGGGAAATTGCACTGTTTCAGGTGCAAGGCATATGATTGCACATAAACTTACATATGAAGGGTGCTCTCTGACTTTTGTACATAATGTATATGAATTTATGACCTACGAGCTTCGCACCACTGTAAGAATGCTGATTGGAAGATTTTTGAAAAATATTCAATTGCAGGAAAGAGCTATAGGTCCCCTGTGCAATGTAGATGAGTGTAGTTATTTACTTTTGAGAATCAGTACTGTACTCAGTACTCAATGTGTCCTTTTCATTATTCCATTAAATGGCACAAAATTATCCAGACACTCCTTCTAATTAATAGATTGAGCTGCTTCAGAAGAAACATTGTATAAGCAGGTGTCTACAAACCTTTGGACATATAAATGTACATTGTAAAAGAAAGAGCACTATAGAATACCTACAAGCGGTCCTTTTCTCCTGTGTCAATGTATAATTGACTAAGGCGGCCTTTTTAGGCAGAGTATGAGGCAGCATACACTGAGTGATGTCACGTCACACTTATGAGTCATCTGTGGCAGGAGCTGTGTTAGCCTAGAGGCTAATCTCTCTCTCTCTCTCTCTCTCTCTTCTATCACTCTGTCCCTGCCACTGAGGTCACCTCCTACCTGCTCAGGGGCAGAACAGACTCTAACCAGGGTAAACTCTGATTAGACATAAGAGTTAATCATAAGAAACAGTATAACTTTGAACATGTTGTTTGTCATAATGAGCAGTCTAAGGGCTTCTTTGCTGTTTTCTGAATGAAACAGATCAGAATTCAAATGATCTTCCAAAAGTTCTGCAGAATTACGTGTTCAAGATGTAAACAAAGCCGTTCATAGTGCTTTAATGAGAAATGCTCTGTTATAGAGAAAATTACAGACTCTGAATCGTTCACAGTGGCGGTGATAGGAACCAGATGTCTGAAGAGTTCAATGCCTCTAAATAGATATGTGCTGGGGAGGTGTATTCAGGGCCTTGTAAGACAAAACTTTAGATTTACCACTATTATATGTTTACTATGTCTATTTTATCATCCTTACATATAAAAACTCAGAAGACCTGTATATGTTCACTGGTTTTGTATAGTAAATAAAATGGTTATATTTGCATTGCAGATATGGTTCCTATCACCTCCACTGTAAAGAAATCTAAGTCAGTGAGTATTTTGTTGTTTACATCTCAGTGATGGAAGTATCCTTTAAATAGCAACAGTCTTACTAAAAAAAGCCTTAGTTTTCCTCATTCTGACCAAAGCACATGCTTGAGGGTAAAATGTTATACCCTTTTACTGATGTTATGAGCCCACATTAAGACACACTAAAGTAGAGACGCACAATAGAATAATGCATTTGGCCATCACAGTGACAGGGTTTCCTTTTTTTTTTTTTATCTTTTTCTTACTTTAATTTTATTTTTGAACATTATGGCAATGCAGAGTTACCATATGTACACACTCAGATGCACATCAAAAGGTTCAGTGTAGGGAAAAAAATGTTAAAATGCTGTTAAAAATGCTTAAAATAATAAAACCATAAAGTAAGTATCTTAAAAAGAGAATCATAATGCTTTAGTGTTGGTTGAAGCTGAAATACCATGTAGATATTGTTTAAAGTTTTGTTCAAAAATAAAGAAAAGAGGTAATTTAATGTTCACTGTACTTTTCTGAATGTGAAACTTTTTAGATCAGAAAATTCTACTTTTCCTTTTCTTTGCAGATATCATAAAAACAAGGACATCTTTGTAGTTTAATCATTACAAATGCTTTAGTAAATAAATAAATAAAGGTTCTTCCAAACAATAACAGGGATTTTCTATATCACCATTATTTTCCCTTGTTATATTTCCTTTTTGTTCATTATTTATTTGTTAGACCAACATTGTTATTGCCACATGCAGAACAATAAAAAAAAAAAAAAATAGTATGTTTTTAGGAAAATAAAAATAAAAAGGGGTCTATATAAATGAACTAGTATCAGAAAATACATCTTTACATAGTTTTAACATTTTTATGTATCTTTTTAATATAAATAGCTTTTGTTGTTGTTTAGCTCTTGGATCATACAGATCATTGTGCTGAATTGGTTCAACTGATTGCTTTGTGTGATCCTTTAACTTAATTATGTTTATTTTCTTAAAACAAATGATTGAACATTCTGTTTTGTTACCACTAAAACCAGATGTTCAGTAGTGACTGTTTCAAGGAGTGAAAATTTTTGTTTATTTTGAAAATAACTCAAAAACACTCGCCAGTTCATGACCAGCAAACACAGCTTTGAACAGTCATACACACATGAAGTCATAATATTTTCATTTTCCTTAAATAAAAAGTTTCCTGAATTGGAGAAATATTTGTTTCGGTAGTGACATTTCATAATGTTCCACACTGATTTACAGACTTTGGGTCACATTTACTTCCAAATAATGAGAACTGCTCACTATGTGGCCATGAAGGACAGGGATACAGTCTCACTTCCTTCTCTAAAATCCAGTGCTGTGGCTAAAATAAGGCTCCACTTCCACTTATGGACTAAAACTTGTGAGACAGCATTTTTGGAATAAAAATTATTTTAATTTAAAAATTAAATCTAAAAAAGTATTATTTTCACAAGTTGAAGGGGTTAGGGTTTGGGACAGCCATCTCCCAATAGAAAGTAGCCAATAAAATATGATTTTGTATATGTTTAGCTTATTACTATCTCAAATAATGCATTGGGTTAAATAGATCATAAGATAATCTTTGTAAATATTCAGTGCAGAATGGCCCATATATGTTAAACGTAAAGGAAAAACAATGCAACTTAGGGGCGGAGTTGCTAAATTTCTGTTTGTGGATATAATACTTGGCAGAAAGCATGAAAAAATGAATCACGTACTCAAGGCAAACATTATTTTTTCTCCTCTCGAGCAGTGAGGCAATCCAGTCAGCTGTGGGTCACGTGACTCCGGCTGCTGCCTCCCACTGCGCGTGCGCGGCTCGCTCTGTGTTGTCAGGCAAAAAATAAAGACAGCGCTGAGAGCAGCTAGATCTGCAATAGATAAACACACACACACACACACAGAGCCGAGCCAGAGAGAGTAACGGAAAGGGGATACAACATCAAAATGAGGACAGCATCCTTTGTAGTGCCCTTGCTTTATTTCTAAGATTTTCTATGTAAATCGTATCTGAAGGCATCATCATCATCATCATCATCACTGTGAACCAGGAGAGAGGGGAGCCATCGCTGAAGGAAGGAAAGTGTCACGAACAAGGGATCGCAGCTCCTTCTCCCTCCATCTTTCGGTAAGGTAAGAGAGAAAGGGATGAGGGAGGAGGAGAGGGGGTGGAGGAGGGGTGGATGCCACCATCTCTGTTTTTTAGATCGAGTTTTAAGAAGAGAAAGGTCAAGTCTGGGGCTGTATCGGTATGTGACAAACCTAAGGGGCAGTGGTGGGTTGGGGGGGCGGTCAATGGGGATGGTTCTGTGCTTTTTTTTTGGGGTAGTTGCTAAAACATAGCAGTGCATAACAGTGCCAGAAGGGGAAGGACGAGGGGAGGGGGTGAAATGATGGAGAGGATGTGAATGATTTGGCAGTGGGTTAACGACTCCAGGTTATGAAACCTGTGCTGTTTGCATTGTGTGGAATATTTGCATAATATACTGTATGTCCAAAAGTATTGCGCCATCCCTTCTAATTCAGCTGCTTTAAGGTGCATCCATGGCCGACACAGGCGTTCACTTGCACACAGCTTGTATTATCTCCATAGAAAAGCATTGTCAGTAGAACTGGACGCTCTGGAGCAGCTGCACATGAGCCTAAGGTCACCATGGCCACTATAAAGCCCCCCCAGCATTGGGCTGTGGAGCGGTGGACCTGAGTTCTTAGCACCTGTAACTGGAATGAGTTGGAGTGATTTCCTAACATCAGTACCAGATCTCACAAATGCTCTTGTGGCTGAATGCAATCAAATCCTCACAGCAGTGTTCCAACATCTAGTGTAAAGTCTTCCCATAGGACTAGAGGCCTAGAGACTGTAACTGCAGCAAATGGGGTGAAAACGCTCTGTTAATACCCTTGATTTCAGAAGAAACCTTATAATTTGCACATATAGTGTATATTGTGAGACAATAACTGTGGAGATCAGAACAGGATCACCACTCATCCCTAGACTTGTAAACAAACATAACGTGATGACTTTAAAATGAGGCTCTGATGATGTCACATGAAGAGAGCTGAGCAGTTAAGGTTGAAAGAAGATGGCTGTAATGTGGAGAGAGAGTCCGAGGATAGGAAAGAATGATACAGAAAGAGAGAGAGGAAAGGAGGAGGGAGGAAAGATAGAGAGCATATACTTTTTAATGCTACACATATTATAATTGAATGATGCTGAATTCACCACGGGTAAACATACCTATGCGTGTATGAGTGACCTGTGGTTAAGGCAAGAGATCAGCAAAGAACTGCAATTTACCACTATATAGTAGTGTCCTAGACAAGCTTGTTGGCTTGTTTGCACCTACTGAATGAGGTTGCTGATTCCAGAGTGTGCTGAAAACAGAATACCGAGAACTGTGGTACAATTCTGTTATGTTCTGATCTCACCACAGTACAGATGCACAATTATATTGGGATCATATCTGTACTGGCAGAAATATGCTTAAAAATCAGCATCAGACAGATGTTTGGATTTGACAAAATTGTGATATTTTAAGCTGAGGGTTGATGGTGTATTATTGTACTCTTGGAGCAGAATGTTTAGGAGTTATTGGGCTGCTATGCAAAAATATCTGCATTTTATTCATTTCATAGTATTTGTCAAGCTATTCACAAAATTGTTATATTTCTCTGTAATGCTGATCAAAGTGGATCTAATCCCAGTTTCTACATTTTTGTAAATATTACATCAGTGTACGTACACTCTCAGAAAAATAGGAACTGTATTGGTAAATTTTAGTCCCCCAAGGTACAAACAATATAAATGTACACTCAAAGATACAACATTGGGACCTTAAGGTACACTGCATTCACTTTCTCAGGGGAATGGTCCAATTCATACCTTTTCATAATGTAACTTTTTAGTAAAATAAAATAAAAAGGTTGGAAACAATAGAAGGTGTATAGAGTCAATGCAACTAAAAAAACAAAACAAAAACATGTAACTGTAACAGAATATCGTACAGTTATGTTCCCTAATTAAAGTTACTGACAGTGTTCCCCTGAGGGTCCCACCCCAGTGACAGCGCTTCTGCCCTGAAAGGTACTGTGAATGTGCATTAAAAATATCAGATATTGGTGTCAACCCACATCTCATAATGTATTTCCATTCAGTTTAAATTTACACAGCCGATGTACATTAAAACTTTTAAACTTGACTTTGCTTACACAGCAGCACATTCAGAGACTTTGGCTTTGCCCCACTGTGCCACCATGTTTTCTATCATTATATAAAAGAAGCACCTTACTGTCTTTATTGGGGGATGCACTGGGGTAGTTGGGGGGGGCTTTTTTTTCTTTGAGATTCACGCTGTTTTTTTTGCAACAAAAACGTCATAACTGTCACTCAGCTCTGCTAGCTTGGCTGTTGTTTCGACATGTACAGTCAGAAAGATCCAGCACCTCCCCTTTTAGAAAGTGATCTACTGTTAACTGGCAAGTGTGATTCTCCCATAACCATCACGAAGGGTTACACACAGTGCATCCCTAGTTTAAATGCTTTTGCTTTAGTTGAGCTTGTAGACTTATTTGCACCTGCTGAATAAGGTTGTTGACTACAGAGTGTATTGAAAACAGAATGGGAAACCTACAGTAACTCTTGTGGCAAGTGGAGGTCAGACTGAAAAATTGTGGTTTAATTTTGTCCTGCTCTATTCCAACCATAACATTATTCTGGTTCTGGTTCAGTGATGGATGAATTCATATTTAAAAACCAAGCACAATCACACAAACATTCAACAGGTGAAAGTTTTGTTTTATTATGTTTCACTGTATTGTCCAGATGCTTAGAAACATGACATTAATGGGAAATTTATGGCAAAATGTGTTGCTTTCCTGAATATTACAGATAGCACGATACCACTTTTTTCTTTTTTATATTGAAGATAAAGAAATCTTGAGTATCAGCTTTACTGATACCAATCATATGTTTTTTTCTTTAAAAATTAAGCTTTATAAGGAGATATTTTAATTGGAGCACTTTACTTAAAAATGATTCAGCATTTTCTGATTTTGACCCGATATCAATACCCATTGATCCTGAAATGCCATCTCTACTGGTTATTATTGGTGCCATAACATAGTGCTGTGTTGGTAACAAAATTTGCATACTCAGTTGACTACTAACCATCTAAAAAATAACTGTAGTGATCAGATATTGTCCTAATACTGTTAACTTCTGAAAGGCCTTATATGTGGCCCACAGTTCACTTTCTTACTTTTATAACCACATAAATTACATATAAATTTCATAATAGTTAATGACTATTAATTAACTAATCATTTATAGCTAAATAAAAGGCCTGTTTAAGGGATCAAATGCATACATCTTTTATAATAATGCTACAACATTATAGATTGAATAAAACTCAGAACACGCACACACTCCCACATTTCACCATGATTCATGAAACAGTGACACAAACCAGCGATGTCTGTTGCTAGGATACATCTCCACAAGGTGGAGAGTCAGTGATTAAGAGGACGGAGAAAGAGAGCGATTATAAAGTGGTGTGATTAGGCAGAGGAGAGACAAAACGCTCTAGGTACCGAAATACTGATTTAAAATGAAAATGGGGGGTTCAGTTAGCTTTACTATCAGTTTAAATCACATGTAAATTGAGTTTAACTCATTTTTTTTGCCCTTCCATGTCATGAATGTCCAATTCCTCAGCCAGCACACTTAAACATACAGATGCAAAAAAGACTTATTCACAGCAGTGACGTAGAAGACCCTTTTGGTTCCCTAACGACCAAGAGTGAATGGTTATTTAAAGAACCTTTTGTGTAAATGAGATGTTCAAGGGTGAAGAACTTTTTTAAAGTCTCAAGAACCTCCATGTGATGTAACTGTGTTACACCTATTAATTTTTTTTTTCTCTAGAACTGTACACGCAAGCTAAGAACCATTTTGGGGCTGAACAAGATGTGAGGTTCAATTTGATGCCATTTGTTTTGCTTTACTTTACATATTGGTACATATTGGTACATATTAGACATCAATGTACTCTGAGGTTAAATAAAGGTTGATTGATGGATTGGTAGTTCAGTTCAAATCTCCAGGGCCACAAATTGGTCCATGTTCCGTAAAGTTGTATAAAAAGCTCAAATTTGACCAACTTTAATGACGTACAAACTACTCTGCTTCTCATTCATGAAACTTTCGCATTTGATGTGAAAATGAGCAGAGATTTGAGTGCAAATGCTGAATGAGCTTCAGTTCGTGAAATCAAGTGCAAGTACCTAGTTTACATATAATTTACATGCATGTGTTTTGTATTGTTTTAATTTTGTGGGCAACGTCAGTAGTATAAAACAAAAGCACACTGTAATATGTCTTTAAATGGAACATGGAATAGTTGCAATATTTGTTTATGCCAAAATGCTGGTAAAATAAATGCATCCACTTTTGTAGTGGGTCGCCGTGTGCACAAATTATTAGTATTATTGTTAGTTTGTATTTTTATTCTATATTGTTATATATTTTTATTCTATATTGTTGTTATTGTAGATGATATTGATAATAGTTTTGGTTAGTTAACCACGAATCAAGCAATTTTTTTTAGGTTGCTAAACTATGACACTCATATTTATACGCACTCCAACCAGACATTGTTTAATCAAAGAGGTACATCAAAGATGAAATTGATGAAAATCAAAACTGTCAGCGATATCTGCGTGTGCTCGTGTTAAGATCAGTTTTGAGTGTACGCAACTTTGACGAATAAGGGCCATTAATCCTATCAAACCTATGGTCTTTCTGGCAGTACATTCAGAGGCTTTGGCTTTGTCCTAAAGTGGTACTGAGCTTTCTGTCACTATATAAAAGAAGCATCTTGCTGTCTTTACTGTTGGATGCACTGTGACAGTTAGGGCTGGGGATTCAGACTGATTTTTTTTTCTGAACGTTTTTGGCCTTTTTTGCAGCAGTGGTACAGTAATAGCATTAGTAGTGTTGTAACTGTCCATCAGCTGTGCTAGCTGGCTGTTGTTTGGATATGTACCAGCAGAAATCTCTTGTTCTGCTGGTAAAAAACGATCTAAACTAACAAAAACTTCTTTGTGTTTATGTGGTGTCAGTTTTGTGAAATCATACAAAAAAGTCTGCCTTCTTTTTGATCAGATTGTTCTACACAGATGTTGATGATGTAGTAAAATTGACCACTTGGCCATTTTGAGGCTTGTACAAAAGACAGACACGTAGGGTACATAAAACCATCATGTATAAACTTGTTAAAAGGTAGTTTGTGGCACAAACAAAATAAAAATATACAAATTTTCAACTTTATTAGATCATATTCTTTACATAGCAAGTAAAAGCAACACCACCACTGAGATATCATGTTCATATCATAGTAACAGAGAAGTGCAGAAGCAGCGGGTTAATGAAGCATTTCTGTGAGTGTACAGTTTTAGGCAGCTTGTCTCGTTTTCATCCATAGTCCCTGGGCTGATAGAGAGAAAACAATAGCACCAATCAAGACACATCAAATGACATGAAACAGCTAAGATGCTTAGAGCAATATAAGACAGTATGAAAAACGCAGCACAATGTGAGTTATTGAACTAATTTAAGAAAAAGAATGATGTGCATAGTTTTGGATTCTATCTGTTTCTTTGTCTGCAGGCAAACAGAGAGAAACAGAAGGCACAGAGTTCCAGGCTCCACCTGAGCAGTGTGTTCTTTGGCTTTGGGTTTTTGACGTGAAATGGATGGAAACAGTTTAACCCTCTCAGAGCTGCCTCTGTAAATGACTGATCCAATGGTAAGACTGCATCTTCAATTAGGAAGTCAGTACACTGAGAACTTTCTGAGTCTTCTTTTGGTATGAAACGAGCTGCAGAGTGTGTGCTAGGTGATGGCTGCTTTGTTGTTAAATATATAAATGTGCTGTCTTTTGCCTTTGAAAGCCCAGACAAACTCTTCAGGGAGCTGCTTTAAAGTGATAAATGTGTGATGACTGTTGTCTGGAAGAAATAACTGTAGCTGACAGTTCTTGAAGCAGCAAATAGGCGACGTAGCTCCTCTCCAGTTATTACGGCACATAGCTCTCTCTGTGTCGGTCGAGCGACTCTCAGCTCACATTCGAATTCATACCCAACGAGGGTCCGTTTAGGAGGGTTAAATTGTTAATGCTGGTTAAGATATGTGGGCATTAGAGACTCATCTTTAAAATGGCTGGGTGTTTTCCTCAGGACATCAAAGGCCAGTGCTGGACGGATGAGGAATCGGATGGGGAGAATGAGCCGGAGCAGTTCATGTATGGAATTCAGGTACAAGCTGCTGAATAAGCAAATTAGGTCATATTTGCTTTTTAACTTTGATTAGATTTTCATGCTGTAGTCCTGCAGTATGATTGTAATGTTTAAATGTGTGAGGACTAAATAAGACTAGTATCAACACTAATAATTAACTTGTAATACACTGCAATACAATAATACAGTTGAACCCTGTTAAGTTCTGATATTGTAATCCTTCTGTGTTCATTTAATATTCATTTTTTTTTAACAGTTTAACTTAAAGTATGGAAAGGGTCACCAGTAATATATGCACTATAGTAGAATCTGTCCAGTGGGACATCTGAGCTACGAACATGTAAATAATGTCAATGTCATTATTCACAACAGCATAAAACAAATTTATTCATGTATGATTGCCCTAGCTTTATTTTTTTTTTTTCCCTCTGTTTTGAATGATAGCCCTTCCTCTGTCCTGATGCTGGAAATACAAGTCCATGTTCAAATATATAAATATAAACAGTCAAATGATTAGATGCCCCTTTGATTTCCCTGTAGTGGTGCTCATGTGATTTGAAATCTCATGATAACATGCAGGATAATAACTCCTAATCTCTGAGTCAGATTTCCCTAAAGAGTTTCTCCCTTAGGCTCAGAATGTGGACAGATATCTAGTTTGGGCTTAAAAGCAGTCACTCAAAAATCTGGCAGTACAACATGTTAAAGATTACAGAGAGTTTGATAGAGGATTACAGACATGTTTATATATATGCTGCTCTGTATTTGCATGGCTTGGTAGGTAAAGACACAAATGTTTCTGAGAAGCAACATTCACTATATCTTAGTAGTGGTTGACATATATAGTCGTATGTGGTGCGCATGGCTTTGTTTTCACTATCTCAGACAACTTTATCTATCACCTCTCTTACCTTTCTAATGCAGCTCAAGGGGCTTTTATAAATGCATGTACGAAACAGCATAAGAGAAAAACAGAAAATAGAGAAAATAAAGGCACTGCACACTGAAGGAAAACTAAAATTAAACAAAAATTGTAGAAGAGGAAAAAGTATTTCTACAAATAATAATAAAATATGCAATCAAATAAATAATGTAGGGAAAACAGTAATAATGAAATGAGTAGAACATGCAATTGAACATTTTCAGTGTAAGGCCGAAGTGCATGAGTTGAACATGACTAAACCTGATGACTAATCAGTTCTCCAGAACAGTGTTGGTGCTACAGTACAGGGTGACCTCTGAGCGACAGTCTGAAGGTGGGTGCTTTAACAGCTCTGTGTTCTCCTCCTCATGCAGGGCAGCTGTGCAGCTGATCTATATCGGCATCCTCAGCTTGACGCTGACATCGAGGCTGTGAAAGACATTTACACAGAGAGTGCTGTGTCTATCAGGTACTGTGAAGCTATTTTTGTGTTCTTCCCTAAACATTACTTCATTAAAATGTTTCGCAGTAGCTTGTCTACATTTCCCATCAAAGTTTGGAGACACCCAGCTAAATGCTTTTAGTACTAATGAGAATGTTTAAAAACTGAGCGGGCATATTTGGGAGGAAAACAATATCATATATATAGTGCTATTTGGGAATAAAGCCAATGCCCACTCATTTTATCCCCATGTTGCAATATTATCATCAGCGTTTAAATACTTTCAGTTGAAATCACCTTTGGACTAAAACAGTTTCAGTGTATATGATTTTACCAATAGCTTGTAAAAAACTATTAAATCATTATTTAAGCAAAACCTGCAGTTCACGTCTAGGAAGACGTTTGGAAAACTGGGTGTTGAAAATATGCACAAATTATTAGCAAATATCTGTATTTTGCAGGGATTATTTTTGTTACTTAATTGTAATTTAATTTAAAAAACAAAGAAAATCCAACGCTACTCTGAAGATTTCAAAAAAAGGCATAGTGCAGTACAGTAATGTGCCTTGGGCATCTGAAAAAAATTGATGTAAAGCAATTTGTCTGGGCAATAAGCATTTATATGTTAAGAAAAACGCTACATTTTAAATGAATTGTGTTCTTCTGTGATTTTAACTGTACTTTGATCCTAACCATATTCTTCTATTCAAGATATCAATTACTTTCAAAAACAAAAAACAAAAAGGTTTTATTAAAAGTTTTTTTTTTCCTGTCTGTATTTATGTTTGGCAAAGTCAGTTACAACTTCATATTTCAGAGTGAAATTGTCGGTTCTTTTGCTCTGTTGGCTATTGTAAGCTTGAAAACGTGAAATAATTCTCCTCTTTTGTTCCGAATTTGAACAGAGAGTACGGGACAATAGATGACGTGGATATTGACCTTCATATCAACATCAGTTTCTTGGATGTGCGTACTCTTTCTTTTCTGTGCCCTGTGTACACTCACAGAATGGCCTGTAGACATAAGCATCGGTTCTTTTGCTGTAGAAATGATTGTTGTGCTGCATTTTGTGTTGTTTGTAGGAGGAAGTGGCCACAGCGTGGAAGGTCATTCGAACGGAGCCCATCATCCTTCGACTCCGCTTCTCCCTCTCACAGTACCTGGATGGACCAGGTAATCAGGAGTGTGTGAAAATGGGTGTGTCTGTGTGTGTGTCTGTGTGTGTGTGTATGTGTGTGTGTGTGTCTGTGTGTGTGTGTGTGTGTGAGTTTAAGGTTAGGATTAGGTTTAATGTTAATCTTCATGATGGTTTCTGATTCTGGGATCTGACAAAGGAAGTATGGATTTTTTTTCTTGTTATTGGTATTGAGTTGCTGTAAATTATCTATTAAATCATAACTATAATGATGATTTAATCATGATTTTATCATGTGCCCTTTCAGTAACTTTTAATTTCTGTTAATAGAGTGTGTGTGTGAGGATGTATATTTGCTGTGTGAAAATTCAATTCTGAGGTGAAGGTGTGAGTTTTGGCGTTTTTCCACCGGGCAGTGCGGTTATAAACCTGTGATTTTGCGTTTTATCATCATTTCAATTGACAGGTGAACCATACTGTACTTTAGTAGCCAGAATGTATGGGTGGAGCTAGAAATAGTGCAGACCATTGATTGGTCAAATGCAGTTGCACAAAATCACCACTGCCATCCGACGACCATGCTTAAAAAAAAAGCTTTAGTTTTTGAGTTAAACAGTAAACCAGAACTGGAAGCTTCTTCATTGTTGCTGCTGTTGTTTGTGTTTACCTTTAACACTAGATTCACACAAAAAAATCATGTGACTACATAAGCACTGCCTTCTTTTGTGGTTCTGTTGTGTGGTGGGAAACAAATACAGGTACTTGGCCAGGGTACTAATAGTTGTTGGTCTGGATATGTAACTGTATTGTACTGCCTGGTAGGGTTTGGTTTGGTTTTCTTATTGGAAACAGTATAGGCAATTACATTGAATACAATATATAAATATATATAGTATATATATATATATATATATATATATATATGTATGTAGTCCAGGACAAGGCTAAATCCATGTCTGGGAAACCAGCCTCCAAATGTCCAAAAGCTTGTAGACATCTGCTCAACATTTCTTCTGAAATTGGAAATTAATCACGAGTTTGTCCACACTCTTCTGAGAAGGCTTTACATTACATGTTGGAACATGGCTGTGAGGAATTGATGGCAGCCACGAAAACATTAATGAGGTCAGCTACTGATGTTAGATTATTAGTTCTAGATCACAATCACAAATGCCGCTCCAACTCATCCCAAAGATACTAGATGGAGCTCCATCACTCAGTTCCTCACAGGGAATGCAGTTCTACTGCTCGACAGCTTAATGCTGGTGGGGTTTATACTCCTGTAGCTGGTGCTTGGTATTGTGCATGGTGACCTCAGGCTGATGTGTGGCTGTTCAAGGGCACCCCCTTCTATTGGCAATGTTTTTCTATGAAGATTATGTAAGATTATACAGTTATGTGTGTGCTTTGAATGCCTGTGTCAATAATATGTGCTCCTTAAAGTATTTAAGTTACTAGTTAGTAATTGTTATTAAATATGGGGTATCTGAATACTTTTGGACATGTAGTATACATATGATCTAATGTTCTGACATTGTATAAAATCCGACCTGTGTGTGTCCTTGAGTTCTTCTCTTGTTGTAGACTTGTTAGTATTAGTAGATTACTAGAATTAGTATTAATCATGATTATCTGTCACAGAACCATCAGTGGAAGTGTTTCAGCCTTCTAATAAAGATGGGTTCAGCCTCGGACTTCAGCTGAAAAAGTGAGTCTTTCTGGTTCCTGTGATGTATTTTTGGTGCTTATTTGACAGTACAAAGGCAGCATAAATAGCAGCTTTCTGTTTTGTGACTCTTAAAATTGCAGCATCAGCTTTCCCCCCTGCCTTTTTTGAAAACTCTTGCTGAAATAGTGAGATGCTTTTCGGCTGCTCTAACTGTGTCTTTTCCACCAGGATCCTGAGCACATTCACCTCCCAGCAGTGGAAGCATCTGAGTAATGAGTTCCTTAAAGCCCAGCAGGAGAAGAGGCACAGCTGGTTTAAGGCTGGAGGGACCATTAAGAAGTTCCGTGCAGGCCTCAGCATCTTCTCTCCCATCCCCAAGTACGACAGTCATTTCTGCTTTCTTATTGCCTTTAGCCACAAGCCTGCTGTTGTATCGAATTTCAATTTATCAGGCTGCAGTTACAACACTAAGTAATTACAGTAACATTTAATATAGCTAATAAAACCTGAGAGGTTTGTTTGGTACAGCTGTATACCTTTTTAAAGGGTCCATATCACAGAAAACTTTAATTGTAATACATTTTTTTCCAAATTTCTGAATAATTCAGTCATTGCAATGTTAACCAAGTCATTTACAGTGGTCTGATGTAAAATGTGGCATTGTAGGGAAAATCACAGGGTCAGATTTCTTTACAGTGGTAGTGGTAGGAGCCAGAGGTCGTAATGTATTAGCTATCCAAAGTGACCACATATCCTCTGAGTTTTTATCTGTAATGTTGATAATGGTAAACTAGTGTTTAATCCAAAAGTGTTTTTTTGGGAATTATTTTGCAGCCCCTTAAATGTTCCTCTCCACCATGAATGGTTTTAAAAATATTCTAAGCCCAACATCAGGCAGCATATTATGACCATTTTATGTAAGAGCTTTCTGTAATGTAGCTTTTAGAGGCACTTAACGCTTCAGACGTCTGGTTCCTATCACCACCACTGTAAACAATTCTGACTCCGTAAGCTGCTCTTGAATGGTGTTTTGCACATCAAAGTCTGAATGACTTTGTTAAATGTCTTATACGATTAAATTATGCAGATTTTTTTTAAATCTCTGGAATCGCCCTCTTAATTGTAATGAACAAATCTCCATGTGCCCTTTTACTACCTCTTTACTACCTTTGTAAATAGTGCAAGTGTTTGAACATGTTTATTTGCTTTGTGAAAATTCACCCTGACTGTGGTCGTTTCCCCAGTTCCCCCAGTTTTCCACTGATCCAGGACACGGTGCTGAAGGGCAAACTGAGTGTGCCCGAGCTGAGGGTCAGCAGGCTCATGAACCGCTCCATCTCCTGTACCATGAAGAACCCCAAGGGGGAGCTGTTCAGCTATCCCCCAAACAGCCAGGTCAGACACAAAGCCTTTCTTTCTGCACTCACCCCTTACACACAGCTCTGTCCTGCCTGCTTCTCCAGTCCTCTTAGCTCCTCTGACCAGTGGGGGGCCCTGCTCTTAATTATAGATCAATTCTGTCCTCATTCCTCCCAGAAACACTTGTAAGATGTTGAGTACTGAAAGACAGCATGATGTGACTCCAAACCAGGCCATATGCACCCTAAATGTATTTTTTTTCTTTTTGGCATATTAGCAGTCTTTCATATCGTGTAAAGGCATACAGAACACTTTATGAAGGCTCATTCACTAGTTTATCAGGTACACCTACCATGCTCAGTACGGCAGTGGTGAGCCATGGCTGTTAGAGCTAGGCCTTCAGTTTGGGATATAAATGTCACACCTCAGTCAGAAACAAGGAAAAAACACCTTTATCATATTTACTGCCAGTGACATTTTTTTCTCTTACAAAATTGGTCCCACCCATTGGATTCAAAAGCTGATTGGTTGATTTCACTGCTCCTAAGGATGGTGGTGATTAATCCGACATGTTAGACCTTCCGTCGAACTCCTGAAGGCCCAGAGATCCTGATTGGACAATTTTCTGTTAAATGTTTTAAGAATTTGACTCTTTTGTTTTCAACCAAAACTTAAAAATGAAATAAGAGTATTACTACAATGCAATACCACTGAAGATTCCCCTCTGCAGCACTGTGCAAAAGTCCATCAGCAGCACACCTGATTTAATTGAATGAAGGATCAATTAGCCAGTAAACTATGGTAACTGGGATTACTGGGCTTCCTGAAGGAGACAGTCTAACTGTCTAACTACTCTAGCTATTAAGCTGATAAAGGACATAGTAAGGTACCTGATATTCGGATAATTATTCAGAGTTACTAGTAAATTTCACTACAATGTCACATCTTTAGGCAGGAATGTAATCTGGAAAAAACTCAAAGTCCCAGTCAGTTATATGGGGTAAAAGGAGGTACAAAGACATAAAAAGTATATATCTGCCTGTCATCCATCTGTAAACTGAATCTGGGCTGTAAAAGAAAGCAATGATTTCATTTACTTAGAGATTTTTATAATTTACTTCTCTATCTAAACATGTTACATTACCCTGAAATTAAATATGATGTAATTACCACCTTGTTATTCCAAATAATTATCAGATTATGAGATATTTTACTGTGTCCTTTTTCTGTGTGGCAAGAATCTTCATTTCAGTGGAATTTAGTTAAACTATCTTGATACTTACCCTCCCTTTTACCCAATATAGTTATACAGCACTCTTTGTAGCATTTCTATGTAATTTAGTTACATTGTCTTGGAATTTACCATCCTGTTAGCCAAACTTATCTGTAGTTAACCTCACACTTACCTGGTTAATACATAGAGTTTAAGGACCTATTAAAGAAAGAAGTGTTTTAATTTGTATTTATTGTAGTGTTAGTGTTGTCCTTTTTTGTTCAAACAAACACATAAGTCCTGCCCAAATAATTAGAGTTACATCTCATTTTCTAAAATGGCCTGAGACTATCACTAAGGTAGTACCATCCAGTCACCGGGGTGGTACCTTTCAAGGGTATATTTCCAGCACCTTTAGTTAGGGAACATAATTGTACACTCTCAGAAAAAAAGTATGAAACTGTCACTGGGGCAGTACCCCTCTTGTCACTGGGGTGGTACCCTCAAGGGATCATCTCAGTACCTTTAGTCAGGGAACATAATTGTACCATAATCCATTACAGTGATATTGTCTAAGTAGCATTGACTCCACAATTGGATCTTAAAACCACTGTTGTACCTTCGATGGTACTTTTACATTGTTTGTACCTCGAGCGAAAAATGTACCTAAACGTTTATTTCTAACTATGCACAATATTCCATTGCATTTTTTACTGCATTGGCTCTGTGCATCCTGTCCTGACTTCAGGCTTTTATTTTACTTTTTTGTTTAGGAACAATTTAAAGTTAAAGATAAAACCATGTACCTGAATGTAGGGTCCCTTTAAAATAGATATATGTTACACAATTGGATCTTATGGACAAGTTCTTACTTTTACAGTTACATTAACTTTGTCTGTACTTTGGGAGACTAAATGTACCTGGACAGTACCTTTTATTTTTTACAGTGCAGATGCACTTTGTAGATATACATATATTGTCCCCTGATACACTTATGCTAGCACAGCACACTACAATGCAACTACCATGTCAGTGACACTGCTGTGCTGAGAATGATCCACCCAAATAATATTTACTCAGCTGTGGTCCAGTTGTGGTCCTTTTCCACTGATTGACAAGGTGATAAATTGGTCAACAGATGAGCTACAGTCATAAATGTACAAAATGCACCTGTATGATAAAGTAGCCAACGAGTGTAGGTGCGAGACAGGTGTACTTAATAAACTCAGCCTAGTGTTCTGCGTGGATGTCCCTTCTACAGAGAGTAATAGGCTTGAAGGTTTTGTGTATTTTCAACATTGCGGAACTGCAGATTTCCAGTCAAACCTCTGCTGAATAAATGACAAAGGTTCATGAGCACTTTCATTCTTCAATTTAAAGTGCCCCCTTCAGTCTCTCCCCAGCCTCTCTTTCCCCCTCGTCTCCCTCTGCCTGTCGTGGCTGGCTGGCGCCCTTTCCCATAATGCTTTGTCTCCATTGACCCATCAGACTGTGGCAGTCCCGGCGGGCAGGGCCCCTGCGCAGATTACCACGCGGCAGCTGATTGAATTGTTTTTCTCATCCCAGGCGGGCGGACACTGCAAGAACATCCCCACTCTGGAGTATGGTTTCTTAGTGCAGGTACAGACGGCTCTGGCCCACCAGATTCATCTCTGTTCAAGCTTTTATACAACAACGCTTTCCTTTCATGGTGTTGTTATTAATCATCGTTATCGTCAGAAAGCAGGAAATTCATTGCACAGTAGAATAACCTCATCTTCAAGCATGGCTTCTTAGTGTTCTAGCAATGGGACTGATTTCACTCATGCTGTTAATGTAAGAACGGCTAATTCATCAATAAATATGCATGCCTCATGCAGCATTAATAATATATCATAACCCAGCAAATTCATTAGTGATGTGGCATTACAGTAGTTATCTCACATTTAATTTACTCATCTGTGTTTGTGATGTAATGTTTTTCCAGATTTTGGGTGTAGTATATGAGCTTAAGATGTGATAAAAGGACTTTACACTTTGATAAAGACAGACAGTATGAGAAATGCTAATAAAAAATATGCTAATAAACAAAGAAAGCAGTGATTAGTAAATTCAGTTTGAACTGTATTAGTTTGAAAACAGTAGAAAATATGGTATTTGGTGTTTTAACTTATCTTTGTTTCCTTGTTTTTGTTGTAAATAAAATTTGATGTACATTCCAAAAAAATTGGGACTGTAGCATATTTAGTGTCACATCACCTTCCCTTTTAAGAACACTTAATAATTGAGGACTGATCCAGTTTTCAAAGACATTTTCATTCCCCTTTCTATGTTAGACATGTCTTCTGCTGTACGGAGCCATTGTTATCTTATTTTGCGCTTCATGTTTTTAGCAGCAGAAAGATCTGGTGCCAGTCTAATACCCCACTCTCTAATTACACAACCATGTTGTTGTAACATGTACAAAATGTGGCTTGGCTTTGTCTTGTTTACATTAGCATGGATGTCCCTGAAAAAGATGTTGTCTAGAAGGCAGCGTATGTCGCACCATAATATGTACATATCTTTCAGTACAAATGGTGCCTTCACAGATGTGCGAGTTATCTGTGCCATCTGCACCTCCATACAATGACAGACTCTAGCTTTTGAGTTTTAAGCTGGTAACAGTCTGGATAGTCCTGTTTTTCTTCAGGCTGGTGAACAATGCATCCATTAACACTGTGAAAGGTTGACTCATCAGACCACAATACATGTTTCCACTGTGCGTCAGTCCATTTCGGATGAGCTGAAGCCCAGAGAAGTAGGCGGCATTTATAGCTATTGTTCACATAAGGTTTAAATCATAAATTGCATTTGTGGATGCAGTGACGTACAGTGTTTATTGACAATGGTTTGTCAAAGTATTCTCATGCCAGTTTTTAATGCAGTTGTGTCTGAGCAGTCGAAGGTCACTGGTTTTTCAGCCTTTTCCTTTATGCACAGAGATTTCAACAGATTCTCTGAATCTTTTGATGATGTAATGCAGCCTAAAGGGTGAAATAGCTAAAATCCTTGTAATCACATGTTGAAGAATGTTGTTCTTTATCATTGCTTATAAACAACTAAGCCTTTCCTGGATGCTCCTTTTACACACGAGAATGTCATTTATTTAAGATGTTTTGGGACATTTCCATATTTCAGTACGTCTTAAATTGACCCGTCCCAACTTTTTTGGTATGTTTTGCAGGTATTTACAAAATAAATTAAGTTGGTATAGTAAAATGTGAAATGTCTTGTTGTTGAGCTATTTTTTTGTTTCAATACAGTTTTTATTTTCATTACAATTTTTTTGGGAATTGAGGTTTGTAGAATGGTAATGAGCACAACAGAACAGAATAAAGGTACAGGTGTAGCAATGTAGCCAGCTACAGAAACAGTGAACAAAATCATTAGTCTATACATCCACATTCAACTCCTTGACAAAAGCAAAACAAACTTCAGTCCACATTGCTCCCAAGTGTTACATGATAATGGCTGTGCCCCTCCAGACAAATGGCCCAGTTTCCTGTAAATATGTTCAACAGTAATTGAGTTGGTCCTGAGTATAATGCTGCCATAACTTTATCTACCCCAAACAGAATGACCTACAACAGAGTTTTGTGAAGTAATAACGATTAGAAATCACACAGAATCCTTCACTGAATTACTGAACTATTTAAATCTATAAAAATCTGATTGTCCTGCATGACATTGTGGACATTTTTTTAGCTCTGGTGTCCTCCAGTTGTGCAGCTGTGAGCACTACAGCATGTCCTGTTTAGTCACTGTTCCCTTCACCAATTCTTTTTTTCTCGTTCTCTCCTCCCAGATAATGAAATATTCGGAGCAGCGCATCCCCACGCTGAACGAGTACTGTGTGGTGTGTGATGAACAGCACGTCTTTCAGAACGGATCCATGCTGAAGGTGTTACAGACATAACACACTGAAACTTCCTGTGGCTCGTACCCATTCAGTATATCGTCGCTGTTGTAACAAAATCTCATTTATCCAAAATAATATCTGGGAATTCCACTTTTTTCTCAAAATTTCCGCGTAATCCACTCATTGAGAAGTGTACAGTCATTCAGAGTTTTTTGATGTAAAATTGGTTCATTGTAAAGAAACTACTGGCTCTTTGCAGTGGTGGTGATAGGAACCAGGGGTTGCAATGTTTATAGTGCAAATACAGCCATTTAATTTATTTTCCAAAATAACTGGTGAACCTACACCTGTCATCTGAGTTTTATATGTAATGTTAAAATGGTAAAATAGTGGTAAATCTGAAAGAAAAAAATAGGGGGGTAATATTTTGACTTACAACACCCTGCATGTGCCTCTCCACCATGGATTTAAAAAATTTCAATTTTAGATCAAAGTCTTAAAACTGTCATAAAACAATGTCTAAGGCCTCAGACAACAAATTCATAACCATTTCATATATTTCTTGTTCCTGTCACTGCCACTGTGAACAATTCTGACTTGATAAGTTTCTCTATAATGGCACATTTCACATCAAACCACTCACAGTGACTTTATTTATATCTTAACTGTTTAATTATAAAGAAATAGAATAAGATGGAATTCCCCTTTAACATTAATGTAAATTAATGTTAAGATTTAGAAGTAATTTTGGGGCGTTTATATTTTTTCATTCATCATGAAACACAGCTGGCATTTCCAAATGGTTTTAATGTGTAAAAATAAGAAAAAAAATGGACATATGAGGTCTTGATATGACAGTGATGTATTACTGTATTGTATTAGTGTCCAAAATGTTGGTGATTTAAAAAAAAAACATGGATTTGGAGAAACGTTACACCCCTAGTAGCAATGCATTAATCATCATTTTTATAGCCAATTCTTATTCCGATTTCTCTACAGCCAATTTTAAATTCTGAAATGAAAAATAAGTTGCTTATTTAAATAACATGAATTAAAGAAAGTGCTACAGCAAATTTAAGAGGAAACTGGCTATTTAGTACAAGACGTCATTCATAATTATGCTAGGATATTTTGATATAGGCATAGCAGCTGCATAGAAATACAGCGCAAGTGCACTTACATGCCTCATGTTATATGCCTCATAAAATTGTAACACAGATCGTCCAAAATAAATATAAACTGGCTAATTGCATGTTTGAAGCCAACATATACAGATTTTGAGTGCATCACTAGTGTATTGTGTAATAAAAGAACTGTGTGTGCATAACCTCAAAAATTAATAATGATAACATGCAAAGTTGTTACAACATGCTACTTAATTTTCTTTTCTTGGTAAAACATTACAGTGTGTCCTGGAAATGTGATGATACTGTAAATATGGGTCTGTTTACATCTTACAATAACATGCGTTTTTGATGACTGAATCACTTAATCCACAATCAGAGGTGGTCAGTTGGTGACAGCATTTAAAACGTGTAACACGTCTTTTTTATCATATGCAATTCTTCTTGCACACTGAGCCAATGAAAGTGTCCAAGCCAAGCTTGTTGACTCATAACAGGGAAAAAAGTAAAACAGAAACAGTGAATGTGTTGATGTGCTTTAGACACGGGAAAAGTACATTCAGATCTTGTCTGATCAAACTGGATGTACGTTTGTGAAAAGTGTAGCTTGATTTTGGCCAGAGTGTATCCAGATGCGATCTTGACATGAAGCACAAGTTAATGCACGGTGTAAACAGGCTCTATAGGATTGTAACACAGCTTTTCTCCTCTAATAATGGTGGTATTTTGTATGTTTGTTGCAGCCTGCGGTCTGCACCAGAGAGTTGTGTGTGTTCTCTTTCTACACACTGGGAGTGATGTCGGGGGCAGCAGAAGAAGTCGCTACTGGAGCTGAGGTACACACACACAAGCGTTCTCGCATTTGAGTTTTTCAAGGACACTTGGATCTGCTGTAGTTATACAGTGGACTTCAGTGGAAAGGACCAGTCAGGTTACATTCAGAAAGAGAAATGCCAGAAAATGTTTACTGTAGGTTTGGCTAGAAGCAAGTAAATGACTTACATTTCAATCACGCCTGCTTTCCTAAAATGGAGATTCCAGTTTGATGGTGCAACATGCAGATCGAGCCAACAGAAAGAACAGTAAACGTGCAAATTGGGTGCTGTGTGCTGTTTGAAAGTCTCTGTTATTGCAGCACCAAAAACAGCCTTTTGAGATAAGGATTTTAGAGGCCTGTTTCAATTGGTACAGTTCATTGTTGCGGTTAAAATGAATTGTATTGAGTTCCGTTGTGCTCTGTGTGCTGTTTTTTAATGTTGTGGTGAAGGTGGTGGATCTGCTGGTTGCTATGTGCAGAGCTGCTCTGGAGTCTCCTCGTAAGAGCATCATCTTTGAGCCCTATCCCTCTGTAGTCGACCCTAATGACCCCAAAACGCTCGCCTTCAATCCCAAGGTGACGGACCATCCTTTATGTTTTACAGATGGCATGTACTTTTTGCTGTATTTTTAAGCAAGAAATGTGACCACATTAACTATGCAAACAACAGTGCTTTATTTGGATGAGGAAGCTTAGCATTTGTTCACTTCGTCATTAATCACTCATTCTTCTCTTATTTTCTCTTGAACACTTCCTGGTTGCATGCTATGTGTCTCTCTATGGATGGGTGGTCACAGAAGAAGAATTATGAGAGACTGCAGAAGGCACTGGACAGTGTAATGTCCATACGAGAGATGACCCAGGTATGGCAGCCAGCTACAGCACCCATCAAGGCCCAGAACCTTTCAGTTTTTTCTGATATGCGTTTAGGAAAATTACTCAGATTGTTTTGGGTTAAATGAATGCTTAGCAGTTACATTTAATCTGTGAATCTGTCTTTGGTGTAACTGCTCTATGGGTGAATCTGTCTTTAGTGTGACTGTAGAAAAAAGTGAGTCTTTCTTTGGTGTAACTTTGTGAGTATCATTGCTATAATTGTACTATGAGTGTGCCTGTTTTTGGTATAACTACATTATGAATGAGTCTGTCTTTGGTGTAACTATACTAAAGGTGAGTCTGTCTTTGATTCAGCTATTAAAAGGTGAGTCTGTCTTTGGTGCAGTCTTTGGTGTAGCTATACAATGAGTGTGTTTACAGGGATCATATCTGGAGATAAAGAAGCAGATGGATAAACTGGACCCTCTAGCTCATCCTCTGCTGCAGTGGTAAGTGACAAAACACTGGTAAAACTATTTTTACTACTGATGCATTTCATTTCCTATAGTTCAGAGTGCCTTAAACATGCACTTCACACTCTTACTCTTTGTGTTCTTTCGCTGTCTGCAGGATAATATCCAGTAACAGGTCTCATATCGTCAAACTGCCGCTGAGTAGGGTAAAGTGTCTTTGTTCTGCTGGTAGTGGAGAAAATGATTTGATGTTTTAATATTTTGTATTAATGTCTTTCTAATTTTTGTTTGCTTGTGTACTTATCCATATGTCTAATTTCTGATTCTCATTTGTTTCTCCATCCTTCCACCTGGGTAATATTATATCTGAGCAGCAGCTGAAGTTTATGCACACATCCCATCAGTTCCTGCTCCTGAGCAGCCCGCCTGCTAAAGAAGCTCGATTCCGCACAGCCAAGAAGCTCTACGGCAGCACCTTCGCGTTCCAGTGAGCCCCTCTTTCTGCAGTACACCACCATCATATTCCACAGTACAAACTCAGCACTCCGAGATATAAAACTACTGCAGCTTCGAAAATTTGTTTTGCTAGATGTACCCCAACCCGTAGCTGTGGACATAAACGCATTTGAAACAAGCATCCACTGATGTTTCTCTTTCCGATAAACAGTGACTAATCACACTCACTAAATCTGAATTTAGAGCTTGCAGACTCTGAATTAAGTGTGTATATTTAAAAAGACTAAATTTAGTGTACATTTACTAAATTTGAACTTAAAAATAAGTGCTAAATTTTGCTACGCTTAGGCTCTCAAGGGATGTATGGTCTTTTTTTAATAGTGCAGCTTTGGTGTTTTTAGACTGCAGTGTGCTGCAACCTCATTATGACCCTGCTTTTCTATTTTAAAAGATGTCCTGATACAGTAATGCTAACTCTCTCAAAACTTCCCAAAACAGCCAACAAAGACTTATATAAATAGCCTGCTCTTTTTTAGATGCAGAATATTTAGAATACAACTTCTAGTTATTGATCTGTAAAACACATTGATGTTGAATGTGACTGTCTGGTTTCTTTGCTTTTATACATGAGCAGGGGCAACATTTATGGAGTAAGACCCTTCACTCATATACACATTCCTCTCTCTCTATCTCTCTCTCTGACCACTCTAGTGGTTCCCATATAGAGAACTGGCACTCTGTTCTGAGAAATGGACTAGTCAATGCCTCTTATACCAAACTGCAGGTATGTAAATTACATCGGTCAGCTGATCTAAGACGCATTTCCCCATTGGACAGCACTTGTCCCGCCCTGGGTGCAAGTTGGCTGTCCAGCTGATCCATTTTGACAGTAACGAATGCCAGGTCCCCTTGTGCTGTTGGGCTGAAAGGAGGTGAAACTTTCTGGTAACAACATTTCCTGTGCTGACAGCAGCTGCTCCCATACACCTTGCTGTCCCAAACTGCAGTGGGTGTTGGGTCAGCTGGGGTCAGGGGTTACCATTAGGTTTCACAGGGGGTTTTAAGGGAATCACTGAGTGTTTAGGTGGATCTCAGGACACCCGTTACTCTTGCTTAGCTGACTACACTCTCTGTGGAGTACCTACGGATGTGGTAAGAAGTGGGCCAGCTGTACTGTATGCACCGTTCCGCTGTACCAGTCTCTCAAGTTCCAAGCTAGACCGGTTTGTTATTTATGTATTTAGACAGAAGTAATACTTACACAGTTGTCCTTGGAAGCAACATCGAATACAATCCTGGAACTTTATCTTCCATGTTCTGCTTGTACATTACACATCCTTCATTCCATATTCTTACTTTCATCTTCTTCTCTGTGAAGCTGTCACCTTCAATGCAAAAAACTTCTAGTCAATATATCTAATATTTCTCCATGTCATGGTGTAAAAATATTAAAATATTACTTAATCATAGACATTTTGAGTATTTTTATGTATGAAATTTTCTCATTCTGTTGGCAGATAATTTTTTTGCTTGTCATAAGGCAAAAGTATCTGCATTATGTTGTAAAACAAGCAAAATAACCTGACAACAGAATGGCATTTTCATTAGATAAAATTGCTAGCATAAAATAAAGCAAGTAATAATGTCTATAAATAACTTTATTAATCTTATCATTTTCTTACAACAATCTCATAATGAAGAATATTAGGTAAATTGACTAGATCTATGGTGCTTTCACTTGCCAGTATATCATCTTTTGCAGCGTTGAGCCCTCGTTTAGCTTAGTGCTAATGGACAGCGGAATCGCTTTTTGTTCTAGGTCTTTACACTTAACCTCATATTCACAAGGTTCTGCTTGTCATCATCTTCATTGTCATCATCATCATCCTCATCTTTTTTCTGTTGACTTTTTCTACACACTCACACTTTGTACCCCAGCTTTGTCTTTCTGCTCTTGTTCCTTCTGCCTTTTTGCTGTTCTTGCATGTCAAATTTTACTTCATAGCCAGTTGCACAACTTGTTGCTGTGGTTTCATGACTTGATAAAAAGAAGGATCGTGATGAAAATCCTTGTCTGATATAGCCAACTTACCTTGGATACCTCTTCTTGCTCGATGCTCTCTTCTTTGTCTGTTTCTTTCTGGCTCTCTTTGTTTGGCACACACGAACAGTGGGGGGAAACAAGTATTCATACACTTTTTGTTCTTTAATGTACTTCCAGTGCATATATCCACTTCAAATATATACACATGATGTAGTTTGACTTTGTGTTTTGAATTTGTGAAGAATTTGGGCAAATCAGAACTCTTTTGGAACAATGTGCTCTGGTCAGACAAGACAAAAACAGTACTCTTTGGCAATAATTCAGCTTGTTGGATTTGAAACAAGATGGGTTACACGTATGATCCCAAGAAGCACCATAACCACAGTGAAGTACGGAGATGGGAGTGTTATCATAAGGGGCTGCTTCTCTGCAAATGGCACTGGGCCATTAGATGTCGTAGCAGAAAATATGAATGGCCAGAAGGACTGGTACATTACAGAAGAATTTCATTGGACAAAAAAAACTAGGGAGAAGATGGATGTTTCAACAAGACAGTGACCCCAAACATACAGCCAAAATAGTTTAATGCTGGTTTCTGAAAGAGATAGTACTTGTATAGCCTTGCCAATCTCCTGACTTGAATCATTGAAGATATATAGAGGATTTTGAGCATGCCAGTCCATCAGAGGGACCCTCGTAGCCTTGGAGCGTTGAAGACAGTTTGCCAAGAGGCATGGGCCAACTTGAACCACAAAAAGCTAAGTACTTTTTACCATAGATATTTCAATGCTGTAATTGCCACCAACAACTTTGCAACAAAATCTGAATATTTGTGTTTAAAGTACATCATTATATGTGTAAATTAGATGTTTATATACACTGGAGGTCTGTTAAATATCAAAAGCAAAAAACACTGAATACTTGTTTCCCCCCAATACATAGTCTATGTATGTGTTGATCTGGCAGCATGTAGTATTGCTGTCCCAGTGACTCTCACTTTCTTTAACCCAAGCTGCATGGGGCAGCCTACGGAAAGGGCATCTATCTCAGCCCAATCTCCAGCATATCCTTCGGATACTCAGGTAGGATCACCAGATGACATCATGCCCCTCTGCACATCTCTTGCGCTCACCCATCATGTTCTGTCGAGCCTGTGCTGTTGCAGTGGTGCTCATGGATGTGTCGCACTGGGTGAAAGCTGAACGCAGCCATGCTAAACTTTACCTTAAACTCATCACATTCCTTCCTATTAGCTGGTCATTGTTGGTGGTGGTTGCTGGTTGTTGTGTGATGGTCTGTCCATTCTTTGGATGATAATAAACTGTGAGTCGTGCTACGAACTGTGAGCTGAAAGTCATAAGGCATCCCTCAGAGTGACATCACAGCTCAAAGCTGTTTGCTCAAGGACTTGCACTGAAGAACTTACCTGCAATCCTTCATTACAACTGCATTCTTTCATAGCAGCTGCTGCTGGGTTGGGCAAACTAAAGACTGTAGTGCACTGCACAGTTTTTTGTCAAAATATTTATGTTTAAAATGCATTATTAATTTCAAATATGATAAAATTTTATGCATGTGAAAGCCCACATTGTATGCGTATATAATCAAGCTAGTGTTAGCATGGTGGCAAATTTATTGTTGTTTCTAACCTGCTTAGTATCAATGAGCAATAACAATGTAGTACATATCAGTAATGTAGCAATTAACTCTGGTGTCATGTTACATATTATGTTGCATGTTACATGTCACATATTAATCCCATAGTCATTTAAGTAATAGAACATGAGAGGGAGTGTGTTATCGCAAAATAACATCACGGCTGTGATTTGGTCGCAAGCATGAGCCGAAGGCGAGTGCTGTAGAATGTGGCATTTAATATGTTTTAATGTCAGCGATTCCTTCCGCCAAATTATAGTTCCTTAACAAGCAGCTTGTTGCTATGTCAGAGTAATGAGCTCCGCTCACCCGCTGCACAGTCTGCTGTGAGCCTCACCTTTTGAAATTCGGACTGAGCCATAAAACTGCTGCAATATCAAGTTTAGCTCAGTTTTGTCTTTTTTTGCTAAATGAATATTAGTGTTGTTTTGTTCCAGCCGGTGTGTAGAGCAACTTCCAGCCCATTTTGTTTGGTGAATTGTATTCGGTTCATTTCTGGCTGATTCCAGGTTGTTTAGGTTTCTTTCTGTCAGAGCTGCCCACGGAAAAGCTGCTCAGTGGTGATGACAGTTTGGGAACTTAGTGTAGTCTCATCTTCAGAGTCTGACCAAATTGGCTCTCGGTGAAATGTGATCTTAAAAGTGTCCATTTTCGTTTCCGTTTGTGCGCAAAAAGTAAGAAGTAAAAACTTTCAAATGGCTTGAGCGTCTGCTACAGCTGTCAAAGTCGTTGCTTAGTAACAGTGTCTCAGCGGAGTGATACAGTGTTCGTGAAAAAAACGTGATGTTATGGCGAAATAACAGTATGGTTAGAATGCTTCTCAACCAATCAGCTTGCGTGGCCGGATCTAACTGGTGTATGATTCTGAATAATTCATAATAGGATTCGGTGATATGAACATTTTGTAACCAATACCAATTTTAAAATCAACCTCAATTCTTCGACTTCGTTCGTTGATGTCCTTGTTCATAATAAGCGCAGTTCATCATATTGCTTAAAAAATTCTTATTTTCCCATAATTTTCTATAAAGTTTGTCCAACCTGGCAACAGTTACTGGGCAAAGCGTGATCAGTTGTGTGACAGTCACAGTCATAATGTGTTAGTAGATGCCTCTTTAACTAATATCTGAAAATCATTGTCATTTTAAGTGAGGCTTTTTGTAATGTTTTATGTTTGAACAGTATCAAGGCAATATGTTCTTACATAATCTTTTAGTTATTGTTATTTAATGTTAATGAGTTATTGTTAATATGGTATTGGTAACTTGTTATTGATTGATATCATCAGCTGGATTGCTTCCCTATCATAAAACCAGTGATTCATGTTCTTCAAAGAATGTTCCAATAATTCATGTTGGGTGTTTGAAACATCTTCCATGACAAACTGTTATGACTAAGGCCATATTATTTTAATCAGCGTTGTATATTTTAGAAAAATAATATTTCACAAGCTGAATCTTGTGTTCCGTATGTGTGATCCATTTATCATGTTGTGTACTCCATACTCCATCATGTGCTTTGTGATGCATGAACTTAAGTAACATATGTGAAATAATTTACCAGATATCACTAATATTGTTTGATCTAATCTCAGTTATATGTGTGTGTGTGTGTGTGTGTGTGTGTGTGTGTGTGTGTGTGTGTGTTTAGGGATGGGTAAAGGACAACATCGAATGCCGACTAAAGATGAACTAGTGCAGCGTTATAACCGTATGAACACAATTCCGCAGGTAAGAGATTTACATGTCACAGCTCTGTGTGTCGGCCCACGCTTCATTCCCTCACTACATGAAACTACATATAAGTTTCATAGTACTGAATAATTCAAAATAGGGCTTGACCAGTATAAACACTTATTGAGCAACTCTTATTTCAAAGAGCTTAAAATTTTGATAATTTTCATCGATTTTATGCTATGTTGCGCTCACACTAAAAGTTTGGATACATTTTATACCTTTTTGTTATATTTCTGTAATAAAAATGACTGTCAACTTATTCTTGGCCCATGCTACAGGATAATCGGACCAATTTTGATGCCAACTTGACTGTGCCTGCAATTGCAAATTGCAAATCTCAATTTCAGGCTTGTCTTAAACCATTGTCTTCCCAGATTATCCTGTGGGGTGGGGTGTGTCTAACCCAGTCTTTACTCCTCGGTCTACTCACAGTCCAGTCAGGGATGCCTCAATTTTGAATCGTAAATATGCCATATTGAAGACTCTACCTCTCTTTAAGTTTGGAGGAAACGCTGATTCTCTCATATGAAATGCGCATGTGGAAGACTATTAGCCAATGAGAGCCGAGACAAATGGAAAGATAATATTTGTCTTCTTCACTGATGTAATATTGCTGATTTCCACTAGCACGTCTGAGGCAATTGCCTATTAAACATATTGATAAGATGTTTAATAAACATTATGTATTCTTATCAATAGAGGTGAGTAATCCAGGCCCCAAAAAGCAAAAATCCCGCCCCCCCCAGGGATTTGTTACAGCTGCCTGGTTTCTCTCCAGCAGCAAAGGTGTTCAGGAAGTTGGAACAAAATCCTGGGGAGAATGTTTACATTCTGGAATGTTTACATTATAACACCCTGCCAGTGTTATAAAAATAATTTTTTACTTTACTGCAAAATGCAGAGCAATCTGTGCCTCTGTGTTATCAGCTTGTTTTGAAAATCAGCTTGTGTTTGTTTTGAAATCACATCTGTTCATATGAGATTCCAGATTGATCGGAACTCCAGTCTGTAGACTACGGAAGTCCGGAGAGGCCATGAGATAGTTATAATTTTCTGTATTGTTATTTTGAGATAACAAGTTAATTATATCGAAAGTGTTATCTTGAAATATCAAATCACTTATCTTGTTATCTCGAGATATCAAAAGTTGTTATCTTGAGATAACGTTATTTATCTTGTGATCTCAAAATAACAAAGTTGCTGTCTTCAGATAGCGAGTTACTTATCTTGTTTTCTCAAGATAACAGAGTTGTTGTCTTGAAATATCGAGTTACTTATCTTGTTACCTCAAGATAACAATCCAGAAAATTATAGCAACAGCTCATGGCCTCTCCGGACTTCCGTAGTGAACTGAATTTTAAATTGTGTGGTTTTTTGTTTAGCTGTGAAGACTGAAAGAAGTGCAAAATATCTGTAAACTTTGTCGTTATGTGAGGGGTCTCTCACATTTTCAACAATGGTTTGTATTTTATTAATCCTGTACTCGGGGGCCAGATATGAGCAGTATCTATAAGGACTGCCATGTGAGCACGAGACCAGTATGTTTTCAGAAGTAAACTGTTCATTTCAATTTAATACAAGCCACTTTGGCAATACCGATAAATCCACGGGACCTCAATATTGACTAGTATCGATATTGGGCAGTCAATATATAGGTCCAGCCCTAATTGTTAGCAGCTAGCTACTTAATAATAAGCGTTAAGACTGAATAGCAAGCTTGTAGTTTAAGGGATTAAAGTCTCTCTTTTCTCTTCTCACAGAGCCGGCCCATACAGTCTCGCTTTCTGCAGAGTCGGAATCTGAACTGCATTGCGCTCTGTGAAGGTGAGCAGCTGAATCGGTGCCCATTATAGCTCTTCAGGAGCAGTCTGCACCTGAGAAACTCTGTGTGACATTTACGAGACAATTCAGGGCAGATTCTGCTTTAAAAGTGCCCTGTATTGCACCAGTTGTGCTTATGTGACAGAATCAGAGTCTGGGTTTATGTGAATTTCATCAGGATTACACTGACTTAAAACAGTGTTGATAGGTTGGAGTCTTCGCGGTACTTGATATATGTTAGTGTAGATTAGTGCAGGAGATGAGTTATTCCCTCTGGGCTGAAGGTTGTGCAGATAGTTTGCAGGTGTAAGAAGAAGGCCTTATAACCAATTAGCTTGTAAAACCTCCCTGCTGAAAAAAGCCATAAAAACCATAGAAGTGTTTCTGTTGGTTCCTGATTATTTTTTTGTAATGTGTTTTGGCTTTTTGAATGGGTTGATATCACAATGTAAAGGATCCTAATGGTTTAACAGATGACCAATGGCTGATTCTAAATGCATTTGATGGCTTTATGATTAGAAAGCAAAACCACCATGTCTCTTTTCAGCAGGGTTCTAAAAAAATAACTACTTGTTAAGCATAAAATGCATTAAATATGCATACAAACATTGCAGCACAGAGTATGAAATTTAATGTACAGAGTATAAAGTTCTGCATTTTGGCTGTAATCTTTGCCACAGTGATCACATCAAAGGACCTTCAGAAACATGGAAACATCTGGGTGTGTCCTGTATCCGACCATGTGTGCACACGCTTCTTCTTTGTGTGAGTATCTGTGTGTGTATCTGGCTGTGTGTTTACAAAAGTTGAGAACTGCTGAATTGTGTGTTTGTGTAAGAGTGTTCATATCCCAGAGGGCATGTGAGCAGTTACCAGGTGGTACAAGGAAAGTTACTGTGAAATTTGATTTACAGAATAAAAAATAGTACTTGATATTAAAAATATATGACCAGGAACAAAACCACGAACCAAAATAAAAAGATAAATAAAAACTGAAGTTACACTGATTTCTAGTGTATCACAACAGTGATGCATTATGCATGACATGCACCTCATCTACAGTTTGGCTGGGCAGTATGGCAATGTTTATCATTATTGTGAGGAATTACATCAAAATACAACACAATTTTTTGTAAATTAGTCAACACAAAAGCATTGTCAATACTTCAGAGAACACTGACCAACTGCATGTTTCAGTATAAAAAGACCATAAATAGTCCAGTATAACTGGATGTAGTGCAGTACAGAGTGTGGAATTAGATAAAAATCATTGTATTCATAGTTATTAGGTAGTATTTTTCAAAGCAGCACATGGCAAAAATGGCATTTTTCTGCAAATGTTGTTGCACAGTTTCTGTTTATTTGCTGATTTTACCATATTTACCGTTTACATTTTTTTTTTCATATTTTACATTGTAAATTGTGAAATTGGTAAGTCTGACAGTATTTTTCACTCACAGTAAAAATAATTGTCAAAAACAAGTAGTTGTAAAATAGATAACCATTTAAAGTCAGCTTAAAAATAGGCTATTTCTGCTGTTTAATCTACTGTTCTGCATTAATAACATTATTTCGCCATGCTATAGCATTTCAGTGCTGTTGATCTATCAAAGCCAAAATGTAAACATTTATTTTGTTGATATTACTTCTTTTTTGAGCGAACAAACACATGAATAGGAGTGAGGAATGGAAGTCTGGACCCGTTGGGGTTAATATCAATACAATTGAGGATTGTGCTGGATAATGGGATTCTGTAGACCAAACAGAACATGCTGTAGGGGTACATATAACAAACAAACAACAAACTACTGGCTAAGAGGTTGTACAGCATGTCCTGTGTATCTAATATCAAGCAGCCTCATTTGTGAAAAAAAACTGTGTGAATACACAAGAAAATGGCAAGTAATGTTGTTTGTAAAATGGACCTTTACAGAAGCTTTCAACCAGACTCACGTACACTGTAAACACTAGATTTGCTAGTAGAATGTGTGTAGCCAGTTAGGAGAGCTGCATGCTATAGAAAGGAGGTCTGAATAATAGGCTATAATAAAAAGAAAACAGAAAACACCTTTGCTTTCATTTCTGTTAATTGCTGAGGTTACTTTCATTTTTCAAATTATTATTAGTTAATTAGTTATTTGATACTTGACCAGAGAGCAGTTATTTTGCACTAAGTAAAAAAAAAACATTGGATGTCTTTCAGAGATTGACGCTCTTTCAGGAGCAGCTGTAAATTTTGTTCCCACTTACAAACATTTCAAGACACTTTGATGAATAAGGAGATTTGCATAAAAGGTGTTTGAACAATTTACACAGAAAGTCATCCTGTTTTTCTTATGCATAAGGCCCAATGGTTTGAACATCTCTCTCTCTCCCTCTCCAACTCTCTCTCTTTCCCTCTCTCTTTCAGTTATGAAGATGGTCAGGTGGGAGATGCTAACATTAACACCCAGGAGCCCAAGGTGCAGAAGGAGATCATGCGTGTGATTGGCACCCAGATATACTCCAGCTGAGAGGGGTTTCCTGGGGCCGTCTGCAGGGGCTGTAGAAGAGCATCCTAACCCTCGCTGCAGAAACAGCCACACATCTCAGCTTCAGCTTGACTCAGAAAGGGGGACGGGCAGAAGAGCTGAGTGTCTTTCCCTTCTCTTTCTTCCCAATGCTCCTCTTTCTCCCTTTGTTCTTTTTCCCCTCTCCTGTCGCGTTCGTGCCGAGGGTTGGACGGGTGTCCCCGCCCCCTGCTGCGTGGTTTGTGGCCTATTTGGGGCGGCTGGGCCAGTAGGAATTTCCTCCTCCTCCTCCTCCTTCTCCTCCTCTTCATCCCCAGCGGGAAGTGAGATTAAAGAGTAACGACAGAGCAGACATCAGCTCTTTCCACTACAGAAGAGTCTTTCTAAAACTGCGCCCACGGATACTGCGGCGACTGCTAATGAGTGCGGGAAACTTCACATGACTCCACCCACACTGCTCCAGGCTCCGCCCCCACATGCCCTCAATCCCTTTTAAGTCCATCAGTCAAACTGCTCTGAACTTGCCTCAGTATGAGGTCGAATTGTTTTTGTCCTTTTACCCATATCGTTGACTTCTGCTGGACTCTTCATAGCTCCCACATACTTGGCGCCACTGAACATTTATCATTCCGAATATCCATAAGGAAAAAACAAAACAAAAAAACAAAGTAATCTAAAAACGTTTATTACATTGTTTTTTTTTCCCTCTCTGGATAGTAAGTGATGGATCCCTCATGCACCCTTTATTGTGTTTGTAAGAACATTATCCTCTTGATCTGTTTACTTTCATATTCTTTGAGTAATGACACGTATTAATATCCAAGATGCAGTTATCTCTGGAGTTGCTTTTGTTCAGCGACTCCTCCCGGTAAAATCAATTTCCTGTTCTTTCGTCTCCGTTGCGCGGCACGACAGAAACACGCACACATTCGCGCATAGACTCAGTAGAAAGATGTTTACTGCAATTTATCAGACTGAGCATGGATGCCTGTGCTGAAAAATGAGTGAACAAAAACATATTATTGTTCATATTTGTACTTATTCCTCCTAATCACTGGATTTTCTAAATACATTATGTTGTGGGTGGGGGGGGCGGAGACTCAGTGGGGGGATGCTCTAAGACAAAGCAAAATGTTCTGCACCTCTTTTATCTCTATCTAGTTTGACATTCCTTAATGGCTGTGATTATTACCACACGGCCTACCTCTTCTTATTTTACAACTGGACAGCCTCTTCTCCTACAGACGTTCTGTGAAGAGTCTAGGGTCACACCCTCTCTTTCAAAACCTGTTTTGTTGCATTCCTTCGGCTTGCCCTGATAGTTGAAAACGTCCTGCAGCCTGCCTGAGTGTACGTATGAGTTTGTATATTCAACCAGTGGAGTTCATATCAGATGTTGCACTTCTGGAAAACAAAAAAAAAAAAAGATATGCAGTCATGGCTGGTCTCCTGCAAATGCACCTTCACTTTGATATGCCCTTAGCTCAGTGTACTGTCAGACATGATGTAACTTAATGAAGGACTTAATGAATGTTGGAACAAATCTGGAGGCTTTTTCTTTGAAGAAATAAACAGATTGTGTATAGAATGTGAGTATTGAAGGCATAAGAAGAAGCAGTTTTGGATGAATATCATCCCTGTAGTTCTCTCTCATGGTCTCTTCTTGGTTGTGCTTTTACCAGGCTGGCCCCGTACCTGTTCCTGCTCTTCTTGTATGTCAGTGCTCTGTGTAAAACTGATGTTACGAAAGCGGCGACCGAAAGAAGGAATAAAGAGAGATTTTGCACAATTTTAGATACGTGCTTTAATTTATTTGCCTGTATTTAGTCATATTTGGTGTGCTGTTAGTTGGGAATGCTGAGATGCATTTGCTCCTGTTTACCTATAGGGGGCTCTCATACCATACAATACACACCGCACTTTCAGAAACCTTGGTTCTCAGAATGGTGTTTGTACAGCAGGAGGGTCTACTGTGAAGTGGGTAGGGGGGTCAGAATATGCATCCTAATAACGCACAGGGGTTGCAGTATAATACATGCTGTGAATTAAGTGCAGTTATATTTAATGCCACCCAAAAATTTTGTAGGTTACTCCATGTCAACCTACGTAAAGCTTCTTCAGTCACGTCCATGAAAAAATATTCAAGCAATAGCGTCAGCGCTTAGGTATTTTTTTATGTTAATTAGGCCTAACTGTTCTCATTCAGAAAGAAGCTTCAGTGGAATACAATTAGTCTCAGAAAAATATAGGTTTTATAAAAGCTAAAAAATGGATTTTTACTTGTGATATCATGTTTAACTCATGACATAGCATTTAATGCAGACATTAATCATTTATTGGATAGAAATGTAGGATTTCACAATATGACATAAATGAACCGCTTATGGACATTTATGAACATGAAACCGGTTGATTTAAGGTAAAATATTATTCTGTCTTGTAGTATCACTCAGTTCGGCTCAGTTCAGTCAATCTGTAAACAGTTATACTCAATATTTAAGATGCAGTTTAGATCTTAACGGGTAAAAGTTTAGATCAAACATGAAACATAAAATTACTAAAACTTGCTTAAATTTTTTCATGAAAATCCATGACATGCATTGGCGTGATCTCAGATTGAATGGTTTCCACTGTTCTGTTAAAGGCATTCTGAGATACTCCTCAAACAGATGATCACCAGTAAAAAACATAAAATAATAAAAAAAATGTGTATTTAAATTGATTTGTCTTCAAAGAAAATTAGCAACTTTGTGTGTAATGTTATCTCTGCAGTCTTGTTTTAAATGCAAAATGAATATTGCCACTTCTTCCTTACCACTGTATTGAAAATGTGTCATGTTGAGGAAACATTTGTGAACTGTTAAACTTTCAAAAGTAAGAATTCTTTTGTGATTTTTTTTTATTTCTTACATATTTTTTTTCCACTGTTTGTTCCTGCCAATCATTACCCACTATTGAACTCTCTCTCGTTGCACATCTGGGATCAGTTTAGTTGACTTGTTTCCTCCATAACACATCTTTTCAGACTGACGCTCAATGCAAAATCAGACAGCTAACTGCCCGATTCTTTACATGTGACCCAATAGACAGAGATCAGCTTCTCTCTGATCTGACAGAAAGAGAGGACTCCGCCATCTGTAACTCATTTTTTTCTTTTTTTTTTTTATCATTTTGGTTTCATTATTTGTCTTTTTTTATCTTTTCCCTCTACCTTTATTAGATGAGGAAACAATAGAATGTAACCCACAATACAGTCAGCTCCATAATTATTGGCACCCTTTGTAAAGATGGGTAAAGATGCTCTCTGTGTTAAAAATAATATAAAATATAAATGAGAAAATGCTTTAGTTACATTTTGATCTTCCTAGGATTTGTAGGGTGATAATTGTGGCACGTGAATTTAAAAAAAAAAAACAGGTTTTGATTTCTCATGTTTTCAGTGTGAGATCGAAACGTGCCAATAATTATGTAGCTGATGGTACATGGTATTTCTCAAGCTTTAACATTGTAAATCATAACATGCCTTGTGTTTGCATCCAAACCTCATGATATCATCTGGGTTACACATAACATGCACATTTTTCTATTTGTCTTCAGACATAGCTGATTTGGCTGTGAAAATGTAGTGTTATGAGTTAAATTGTGCATATGAGTTAAATATTCATTCATTCGCAAAGCACTGTAGCTGAATGCGTTAGTAGTTATCTGTCCTTTGAGTAAGAATGATGAAGGTATCAGTTTGAGAACAGATGCTTATCATGGAGCCTGAACCTTTCACAAATATTCCGTAACAGTAGACCCGATCACTAGAGAAACACAGTCTCCACTCTGACATTGCTCTTGTCTTCCACATTCTTGCTTGTTTTACTCAGAGGGGCTTTAGTATCCCAGTTTGGAAAGCTTGTGCGTGGGGGGGAGAGATCACACAGCTGTCACACTCTCCTCCATGATCTCGCCCACACAGCTGTCTCTCTGGCACATGCTGGAGGACCAGCAGGCCCTCAGCACAAATACTGCCTTAGAGATGCCTCCTGCTTCCTTATTGGAAAGTCATAATCATGAAGTCTTTGCATTCAAGTGCTTTGTAGTAAAAAAAAATGGTTTGCTAGTTTGGTTAGATAGTTAGCTGGCCTGATCTTTGTTTGCTCTCTGAACATTTTCCCTTCCTGTCAAAATTGGTTGTAGATCCAGTGATAAACAGATGTAAGCAGATGTCTAAGGCCTAACAGTGACTACTAAAATAAGTTGAATTTAGAGAAATAAAGAATTACCCACAATCTCTGACCACAACAGTTCTTCAGGAAATGGTTTAGTGCATCATGAAATCTCAAATTCCACCTCAATTGGATTTGATCTGATTATTTTGTTACGAGAGTTATTATCAAAAATATACTCGATACACAAATGTACAGATGTGACTGAAGAAGCTAGAATTCCTAAAAGAAATTGTAAAAATGTGTCATAATCAACTTATTACGATGTAAACAGTGAAATGCTCCATTCTAGAGAAACGTAACAAGCCAGAATTGTTCACAATAATTGTAAACAAGTGTTCCAAATGTCATGAATGATAGGAAACAGGCATTTACAGCATTTGAAAGCTCCTAAATAGTGGGAACCAAGAGGCTGCTTTTAAGAAAATGTAAGCTAATATATTTTTAAATTAATATATTTAAACAGGCAGGTCATTATACAGCATCATAATACCTAAAGCAAACAGATTTCTTATCAGATTCCAAACTATTTTACCATTGATGTTGACTTCACAACATCTGGTTCCTATCACCACCACTGTAAAGAAATCCGAGGTGGTAAGTTTCTCTACAGTGAACCATTTCACTTCAGACAACTCTGAATGACCTTATTTACATCTCTATGATTAAAATGTGCTGAAATTTTGGAAACAATAGCTGGAATTTCTCTATAAGTTTGAAAATAGCTTGAAATTATCATTCCATCAGTCCATGATTAGTGAATGCTATTACGATCGTTTTGAGTACAGGTGTCAAGCTCCAGGCCTCGCTGGCCAAAGCACTGCAGACTTTAGCACACTGCTGTATTAAACACACCTGATTTAGCTCATCAGCTAATTAGCAAGGCCTGCATGAACTGAATTCAGAGCGTTAGATGAGGGTAAATGCAAATATCTGCAGCACTTTGGCCTGGAAGGTCTCCCGTTTGACATGCATGGTTTAGAGCATCTTGAAATTGATGCAGTTGAGTTTCTGCCGTCAGATCCATGCGTCAGGATGCACCCATGCATTTTACACCCGCAGTAAGCTGGAAATTTATTGAGCTTGTCAAAATTTCCAGCTGCAATGATGAATTATGAAGAAAATTCACAATAATTCCAACAGCACAGACAGCAAAAGCCCAGTACGGCTTCTAACACTGCACTTCTAACACTCAACTCTCCATTAGGGGGAGCTCTTGTGCTGTAAAATATATGTCCTTAACAATGTAGTTTCTCTCTCTCGCTCTCTCTCTCTCTCTCTCTCTCTCTCTCATCCACACACACTGTGGGTGCTTGTTTTGTTAGATAAAAATGGGCTGACATGAGGGCGCAGGGTCAGAGCAGGTGCCTGCCCTCTCTGCGGTTACGCTACACTCCTCCTCTCTCTCTCTCCCCCTTTCTCTCCCTACCTATGCAATCAGCGCCAGTGCTTTGATTCAGCCACAAAAGGAGCAATTAGGTGGGGTTGTTTAATCACGCGAGCGGCCAACGGAGAGATGCCTCTTAGCTTGCATGGGGCCGGACAGCTCTGACAGAGAAGGTCAGCTTTATAACAGACCACCCAGGGGTCTCTCCGTCTCTGTCTCTGTCTGTCTCTCTTTTTCTCTTTTTTTTTTCTTTATTTCTCTTTCTTTCTCATCCTCTATCTCTCTCTCTCTCCTTCCATGTTTCTCCTTTTCTCTCTCTCTCTTTCTTTGTCTCTCTGTCTCACTCTCTCTCTTTCGCATCTCTTAAAGCTCAGGTGCCATTGCTGATCTAACTGCTTTATGTGGTTTTATAATTGTTAAACTGATTTTGTAAAGTTTGAACCACTTGAAGATACAACTATATTATCCTCTCCACCTTCCTTCTTTTTCCTTTATTTTTTCCTACAAAAACTACATGTAGTCTTTATCAGTCATGGTCATACAGCTGTCATGGAGTTTATGGGCTGACTTGATAACTTCAGAATCATTAGATGGATGTTTTGATGCTGTCCAATCAAAAATGTAGTTTTATCAATAGTAATCCATATAAAATACCAAATTAGAATCTATTTTCAAAGTTGTCCCACTTATTGCAAGTACATATTTGTAAAAACTAATATAATTTGGATTACATTTAGTCCTTTACTAGCCAACATAGATAGATAGATAGAGTAGATAGATAGATAGATAGATAGATAGATAGATAGATAGATAGCAGCTTTACAGAAAAAAACAGGTCCAAGCCCTCATGAACGTCGCCAATGGCGACAGTGGCAAGGAAAAACTCCCTAAGAGCAAGAGGAAGAAACCTTGAGAGGAACCAAGACTCAAAAGGGGAACCCATCCTCCTCTGGTTGACACCAAATAGCAAACAATAACAGCAGAGAATGAGATTTGATCATACGGTATAACATACGGAAAAAGGGGAAAAGCAGGAGTAGGAATGTCTATGTTAGATAGATTGATAGATAGATAGATAGACAGACAGACAGACAGACAGACACCCAATACCTAATGCTGGGGGGCTTTATATCGTGACCTCAGCTGTTTGGCTTCTTTGGAGCATCCCCTTATATGAGTCAGTGCTCTTCTG